GAAAAGAAAAGAAAACATTATCTCGTTTGAAAATGTAAAGATCAATCATGCGAATTATATCTCTTTCTTATACCTTAATTGAAAGTGTCCCAATGGATTATGATTCAAATTTAAGGTTTGTAAATTTGCTAGACGACGAGTTTGCGGTGGTAATGTTTCCAATTTATTATCACTAAGATCCAAGAATAAGAGATCAGTTAAATGAATGAACAACGTATTGGGAATCGTGTCAATGCTGAAAGAATCAGAAATCATAAGATCAGAATCATTAAATCTACATTGTTTTTTTTTTTTTACAATTTACATACTCAACACTCACTGATTGTAACTTAAATTCAGATTTAACAAAGAACGAGCTCTCTCCAATCCTTCCGGTACTTCTTTCAAATTATTATGACTTAAATCCAATGTAGTCAATTCTTCTAGATGAAACAATTCCGCCGGAATGCCACTCGATTTAATGTTGTTGCGCCTTATGTTTAAAGTACGAAGACAACAAAGTTCCGTTAATTCCCCATATAAGCGTTCCAGTTTGTTCTTAACCAACGAAAGATGTTCCTATTCGAAAAAAGGAATAATTTAATTTTCATCACTCACGTTTCATAGAACCATTAATAAGAACCTCAATCACAATAGCTTCATCCTGAATTTCGCGCACGCTTAAAAAATAAATGTCCATACGCAGACAGCTTTACCAGCTTCAACAATTTGCCCATTTCTTCCGGAATCTCAGTCAAGTTGGTTTCATCCAATTTTAGCCATTGTATGCCAGTCATTAAACGTACAGATTCTGGAAATTTTCCCTCCTATAAAAAGCAAAATTGTAATAATCGAAAATTATATCATTAAAAAAGGAAGAAAAAAATCATATTTACACTAAAATCATTGCTGCTAAAATCAACCCCACGTACAAACGGCAGCACCCCTGTATTCGCCATTCTGTTCAAGTTCGAGAAAATATTCTTTTTATGATTTTATGATTTTTTGATTTTATAAATCATACATAGATCAGATTATTTTTATAAATCGTACGGTTATATTTGTAGTTTATAGATCTATAACACGTTAATACGTAAAATATGTAAAAACAAAGACAAAATATATCATCCATCGTGATTAAACATTACGAGAAAAGAAAAAAATTATGGAATCAAAAATAAAAAAATAAATTTTTATCTTTCATCGGTCATCGAATGTTTTTTTCAAAAACTTACATCGAATTTTAAAGATTAAATAGACGAAAAAAGAAAACAATTTCTCGCGAATAACCTTCAATGTATATAAATACAACGGATGTCCGTCATATTTAATTTCAATATTAAAGAAATTTTTGAATTATCTCAACGAAGATTATTCTTAAATGTTAAATTGTACGATCACAATTGTATATTAATCGAATCACAAGATACAAATGCGACGTTAAAAATGATATTAAAGATTTATTCAAAGCACTATCCAAAGGTGCCAACGACATTTAACGAATTCAATCCAATTCGACCAATAGCATGTAGAAAGAAGATGAGAGAGAGAGAGAGAGAGAGAGAAAGAGAAAGAGAGAGATATTACTAAAACGTTTGAAAAATATACGATTCTTTTTCATGTATAACTCTGTTTTCTTTCTTGTTTTCTTTCTCGTTTTTTCGAAATACAACATATTCGTAAATATTTTTCGAATATTTAGAAATGTATATTTCGAGGATTTATATCGTACTATATAGGGATTTTTATGAAACATTCGTACCAACATGTAGCATCGCAAATACAATTTAGAAACTTCTGCGACCATAGCAAAGTTGTTCCGCATCTACTTTACACCGGTGTGAATTGCTGTACATATAATATTTATCTCAACATACGATGTCTAGAGTAGACGAAGGTGAATTTTAAAACTTGATTCGTGAAAATAAAATATATTCGTTCATTCGTTTATCAATCATCAGTTGTTTTCTTATATGACTTCAGTCGAAGAAGTAGATCAATCGGCGGACAGCGGCATGGGTAGTAGCGACGCACATTCTCCCGAGGTGAAATCGCTTTTTCCCGATGACGAGGATGACGAAGAGGTATTCCATTTCGATACATACGATTATATATTGACATCATAAATAACCAAAATTCGTATTATCAAAAATCGTTACTTTTAAAGATTTTTAATTACAATTAATCTATAAATTAACCAATATTTCTTTACTTACAAATCGTATTTTTCACATCGTATTACGCGTTTTCAACGTATTATATTTTTCATCGATATTTGGAAGAAAAGAAATTTAAATAGGATATTCGCGAATTTTACAATTAAACAAAAAAAAAAAAAAATTCAACTTGATCGTAGAAAGTAGGATATATTTATATTTGAGTTTGTTTTTAGGATGAAAGCTTGGCAGAAAGATTATTGGGACTTACGGAAATGTTTCCGGAAGAAGTACGTAATTTGGGATATAACGTTGGTACTTGTTTATGCAATTGTATGAAAGGTATGTATTTATTAATTTTATGCATTTAATATCACAATATAAACAACATATCGTTTTTTCGTAGGGTTATACGCATTTTCATGTTCAGCAGCATGGTTATTCTTCAGTTCATCAGCCATTTTATTTGCACCTATATTGTTCGAAATAGAACGAGTGCAAATGGAGGAAGCACAACGCACTCAACAAAAACAGGTTTTATTAGGTCCTAGTAAAGCCATGTCAGGCGTAAGCGCTTCGAGTCTTCCAATGGCTCCACCGGTTCAGCAATAATAGCAATGATACCGTCGATGTTGCATTCGAATCATCAGAAGTCGATCGTTCCGTTCACCGTTTATATTTATATTAGTATAACAACTTCAACTTAATTCTAATATCTCACAAACACTCGTACATCCATAAGATTATCATATATATTGTTCATCGTAAAAAATTCAAATCAAATAGTACAGAAAAGAACGAAACGAATTATAATATTATATTATATATCACATAATATATCGACGCTATCGACATTCTCTTTCGCTTTCTAAATTTTACGAGAATATAGTTTGTTTCTTTTTTCTTTTCACTATAAAATTACGGGCATTTTATCACGTCATAAAACGTTAAACGTAGCAATATCTAGTTACGAAATATTAGTAAAATTGTAACATTCGATTATGTATGTAACGCACCTTTACGAATAAAATAATCAAGTCCTTTCATAACATTAGCATCTATCTAAGGTATCAAATGTTATTGTAATATAAGACGTTGAATAAAGTTATTATAAAGGATGTTTAACGATGTTTCGTTATCATTACGTAGAATATCGATGGAAACTTAATTAAATAGAAAGAAAAAAGTGGTTAACAAAATTACAGAACGGAAGACGATCCGAGTCTTTCGATCTTTGAATTTAACAAAGTATAATCGAATACGAATTAATGGAAAAACGAAACATTACTTAATTGGATCTAATATCGGATATAGCAAAATTTAATTCTCAATTTTTATTTAATCGAACTAAATCGTACTCTATTTAGTAGGATCTAACCTAACCTAAACGAAATATGATTTAATTTCATTCGTTCAAACGAAATCCAATCGAAAGAAGAATCTAATATAAATTTAATCTTATCGGATTCGAATATAATTTAATCAAAATGTAACCTAGCTAAGAAAGAGAAATAAGACTAATCTAATATTTATTTACTAACCTTAATTCAATCTCTTAAACGAAACAATTTAAATAAAAATATCTAAACGCACATTTATTTTTTTTTTATAGGATGTATCTTTTAATTTTGAAATAACGTAATAAAAATATCCGCATTGATTTTATTCTTTAGGAATATTATATATATACTATAAATACTATATATATACTACTGTATGTAATATATATACGTATATATATATATATATGTGTACTACATACAGTAGAATAACGCGATACTACGAGATGTATACGCGAGAAACTTATTTTTTTTTTATTCTTTTAAGAAATCATATTTCCGTAGATCGATCAGTTTATCAATAATAAACGTTTCTAATATACATCGCATTAAGAATTGTGCAATCGTTGAATAAAAAAAAACGTTTCCAAACGATAACATTCTTTTACAAGTTATCACGTACGCACGAATACGAGAACGAAGGATATACGAGAATTAACCTATTATATTCTTTCTATAATTTTTTTCTCCCTCTTTTACTTTCCGTATCATACAAGTTCATAATAATTCATCGAATAGAAATAAAAAAAAAAAAAATAACGAAATATCTAAGACCAAATTCGTAAAAAAAATCCAATTTATTAATTTATTATTAAGATAGATAAGATTTTTTTATAAAATCGTTGGAAATAAATCGAGAGATATTTTCAAGCATTCGCAACTCAGATAAGAAAAACCGTGAGTTCGAAGTTGAATTCTTTCTGTATTTATTTAGTTTTTAATTTTTTTTTCTTTCTTTTTTTCAAATTAAATTTATCGCGACAAAGGAAATGCGAATTTAAAAAAAAAAAAAAAATAACACGCATTATCAAGAAGAGAAGGAAAATGAAAGACGGTTAATAGATCTTTTGTCGAATTGGATTCGTTAATCGATTTCGGCAGTCCAATTATATTCATATAAGAAAGTTGCATACCGCGCAATTATATATATCGTGTTTCACGAAGTAAAAAAAATTTTCATAAACGGAAAACGTAATGGAATTAAGATTAACGAAATAAACTAAATCGTTTCGTTGTAATTAAAAAATAAACAAGTTAACGGAAAAGATGTAAATCGGAAGATATTATTTATTAACGATTCATGAAATTAAGATAGACCGTTGCGTCGCAAAAGCATACCTGGTCGACCTTGGTCATAAAATGCGAGGATTAATTTATAACACGGGATTATTTTCGAGGTAAAGTTTTCATAAAATCTTTAACAATAAACCAGATTTCTCCTCAAGATTTCTCCGTTTCTACACTTAACAGCCGCAGACGCGTTATAAATCAAGCGAAGGATAATTCCGAAACAATTTGTCACTGTCCTCTTTTATCCAGAAGACGACTTCGAGATCTTCCGAGCATTATCTTATCCCTTAGAATCGTTGGACACCACGGAAGGAACGTAACCGTCAACACATCGCTTGATCGATTTTCCAAAAAAACCGATCACCGATCGAGGATACAGTAACCAGGCAAGCAAACGAAACGAGTAAACGCGAAGGCAGAATAAATTCAAGTATCGTGACAAACAAGATCAATCAGCACTATTACCCAAATTCAAAAGATTGACTTCAATATCAACAGCACTTATTTTTCAACGAGTCACAATAATCTCAACGAGATTCAGTATCACTAAGTTGAAATTGAATCACTAGAAGCGCCATGATAATGCAGAATCGAAACATCCTCAACAAAATAGATGAATATTTTGCACAATTATTTCGATATGATAAATCGACTGATCGAATATGTAAAAAATAATATATGCTATTATTTTTTACATATTATAAAGAAAAATTATAAATTCACCTAAATAATACAAATAAAACATCTATTATCAACAAAAGTTTAATTTTTTAATATATTTTTTTAATACATTTTTAAACGTTTCACAGAAGTAAAAAAAAATATTAAACAAAATTACAATTAATACTTAATTTTTGTAAAAAATTGTTATTGAAAGAGATCACAAATATAAATTTCTTAAACATTCGAATATTTTTTTAATGTTAAATTTCGCTATTATTTCATTTATCGTTCATCATACATCGATAAATAAAATTCTACTAACAAGGAATTTTAATAAATAGATAATAATATAATAAATTAAAAAACAATGAATTTAATTAAATCACAATAAACGAATAATCTCTCGCAAATCGTGATTGGATAATTGGAGTCACCGGATATTGAACACGTAGAGAAAAATGAGCGCAAGTAGTCAATCGTGAATCGTCCTAGAGATAAGAACGTCCGACAACTATAGAGTAGGAACAAATATATATTACTTTTTTTTATAAAAAAGCAAGAAAATCGCGTAATTAACGAGTAAGGGAGTAAATAAATAAATGAAACAATTCGTTACAATCAACCATATAGTTACAATCCATAATACTTGATTAAATGCAATAATATATATATTCTTTTAAAGTTGTAATTATATTTTTACATTTCGATATCTCATTTATTTAACAATCATTTACATTTTA